TTGACCCCAATGGCTTCCTGTATGTTTGACCTCTATGACTTCCTGTATGCTTAACCTCTATGGCTTCCTGTATATTTGACCCCTATGGCTTCCTGTATGTTTGACATCTGTGGCTTCCTTTATGTTTGACCCCTATGGCTTCCTGTATGTTTGAACTCTATGGCTTCCTGTATTTTCGACATCTATGGCTTCCTTTATGTTTGACCACTATGGCTTCCTGTATGTTTGACCTTCATGGCTTCCTGTATGTTTGACCTCTATGGCTTCATGTATGTTCGACATCTATGGTTTCCTTTATGTTTGAACTCTATGGCTTCCTGTATGTTTGACCCCTATGGCTTCCTGTATGTTTGACCTCTATGGCTTCCTGTATGTTTGACCTCTATGGCTTCCTGTATGTTTGACCTCTATGGCTTCCTGTATGTTTGACCCCTATGGCTTCCTGTATGTTTGACCTCTATGGCTTCCTGTATGTTTGACCCCTATGGCTTCCTGTATGTTTGACCTCTATGGCTTCCTGTATGCTTAGCCTCTATGGCTTCCTGTATATTTGACCCCTATGGCTTCCTGTATGTTTGACATATATGGCTTCCATTATGTTTGACCCTTATGGCTTCCTGTATGTTCGACATCTATGGTTTCCTTTATGTTTGAACTGTATGGCTTCCTGCATGTTTGACCCCTATGGCTTCCTGTATGTTTGATCCCTATGGCTTCCTGTATGCTTAACCTCTATGGCTTCCTGTATATTTGACCCCTATGGCTTCCTGTATGCTTGACATCTATAGCTTCCTTTATGTTTGACCCCTATGGCTTCCTGTATTTTCGACATATATGGCTTCCTTTATGTTTGACCCTTATGGCTTCCTGTATGTTCGACATCTATGGTTTCCTTTATGTTTGAACTGTATGGCTTCCTGCATGTTTGACCCCTATGGCTTCCTGTATGTTTGATCCCTATGGCTTCCTGCATGTTTGACCTCTATGGCTTCCTGTATATTTGACCCCTATGGCTTCCTGTATGTTTGACCACTATGGCTTCCTGTATGTTTGACCTCTATGGCTTCCCGTATGTTCGAAATCTATGGCTTTCTGTATATTTGACCCCTATGGCTTCCTGTATGTTTGACCTCTATGGCTTCCTGTATATTTGACCCCTATGGCTTCCTGTATGTTTGACCACTATGGCTTCCTGTATGTTTGACCTCTATGGCTTCCCGTATGTTCGAAATCTATGGCTTTCTGTATATTTGACCCCTATGTCTTCCTGTATGTTTGACATCTATGGCTTCCTTTATGTTTGACCTCTATGGCTTCCTTTATGTTTGACCCCTATGGCTTCCTGTATGTTCGACATCTATGGTTTCCTTTATGTTTGAACTCTATGGCTTCCTGCATGTTTGACCTCTATGACTTCCTGTATGTTTGACCTCTATGGCTTTCTGTATGTTTGACCTCTATGGCTTTCTATATGTTTGACCTCTATGGCTTCCTGTATGTTTGACCCCTATGGTTTCCTTTATTTTTATTTTTAATCCCAGCCCCAGTCCCCACAGGAGGCCTTTTGCCTTTTGGTAGGCCGTCATTGTAAATAAGAATTTGTTCATAACTGGCTTGCATAGTTAAATAAATTCCAACTTTACAGGAGACGAGCAGAGCGGATGACAGGGCAGAGATGGACGACTATCTCTCAGAGATAGACATCCTTCAGAAGGTCCTAACCAGCATCACACAGGTATTCAGCCTCCAGCAGGTCCTAACCAGCATCACACAGGTATTCAGCCTCCAGCAGGTCCTAACCAGCATCACACAAGTAGACATCCTCCAGCAGGTCCTAACCAGCATCACACAGGTAGACATCCTCTAGCAGGTCCTAACCAGCATCACACAGGTAGACATCCTCTAGCAGGTCCTAACCAGCATCACACAGGTAGACATCCTCTAGCAGGTCCTAACCAGCATCACACAGGTAGACATCCTCTAGCAGGTCCTAACCAGCATCACACAGGTAGACAATCCTCTAGCAGGTCCTAACCAGCATCACACAGGTAGACATCCTCTAGCAGGTCCTAACCAGCAATCACACAGGTAGACATCCTCTAGCAGGTCCTAACCAGCATCACACAGGTAGACATCCTCTAGCAGGTCCTAACCAGCATCACACAGGTAGACATCCTCTAGCAGGTCCTAACCAGCATCACACAAGGTAGAACATCCTCTAGCAGGTTCCTAACCAGCATCACACAGGTAGACATCGCTTTAGCAGGTCCTAACCCAGCATCACACAGGTAGAAATCCTCTAGCAGGTCCTAACCAGCATCACACAGGTAGACATCCTCCAGCAGGTCCTAACCAGCAATCACACAGGTAGACAAGCCTCTAAGCAGGTCCTAACGATCACACAAGGTAGACATCCTCTAGCAGGGTCCTAAACCAGCATCACAGGTAGACATCCTCTAAGCAGGTCCTAACCAGCATCACACAGGTAGACATCCTCTAGCAGGTCCTAACCAGCATCACACAGGTAGACATCCTCTAGCAGGTCCTAACCAGCATCACACAAGGTAGACATCCTCTTAGCAGGTCCTAACCAGCATCACACAGGTAGACATCCTTTAGCAGGTCCTAACCAGCATCACACAGGTAGACATCCTCTAGCAGGTCCTAACCAGCATCACACAGGTAGACATCCTTTAGCAGGTCCTAACCAGCATCACACAGGTAGACATCCTTTAGCAGGTCCTAACCAGCATCAACACAGGTAGACATCCTTTAGCAGGTCCTAACCAGCATCACACAGGTAGACATCCTCTAGCAGGTCCTAACCAGCATCACACAGGTAGACATCCTCTAGCAGGTCCTAACCAGCATCACACAGGTAGACATCCTCTAGCAGGTCCTAACCAGCATCACACAGGTAGACATCCCTAGCAGGTCCTAACCAGCATCACACAGGTAGACATCCTCTAGCAGGTCCTAACCAGCATCACACAGGTAGACATCCTCTAGCAGTCCTAACCAGCATCACACGGGTAGACATCCTCTAGCAGGTCCTAACCAGCATCACACAGGTAGACATCCTCTAGCAGGTCCTAACCAGCATCACACAGGTAGACATCCTCTAGCAGGTCCTAACCGCATCACACAGGTAGAAAATCCTCTAGCAGGTCCTAACCAGCATCACACAGGTAGACATCCTCCATCAGGTCCTAACCAGCATCACACAGGTAGAAAATCCTCTAGCAGGTCCTAACCAGCATCACACAGGTAGACATCCTCCAGCAGGTCCTAACCAGCATCACACAGGTAGTCAGACCAGACCAGGCCTGGGCATATCATATCACTCATCTCACTATCAGTCCCAGAACCAGATTCAGCTTAGTCCTGGAATTAAAAGTGTCTGCATCTAAAATGGCACCCTGTTCCCTATATAGTGCACTACTTTAGACCAGGACCCATAAGCCTCTGGTCCCAAAAATAGTGCACTACATAGGGAATAGGGTGCCTTTACTGGTCTAAGTAGTGCACTCATAGGGAATAGGGTGACATTCTCTGGTCTAAATAGTGCACTACATAGGGAATAGGGTGACATTATCTGGTCTAAAAGTAGTGCACTACATAGGGAATAGGGTGCCATTTTCTGGTCTAAAGTAGTGCACTACATAGGGAATAGGGTGACATTCCTCTGGTCTAAAATAGTGCACTACATAGGGAATAGGGTGACATTCTCTGGGTCCAAAGTTAGTGCACTACATAGGGAATAGGGTGCCATTTTTTTGGCCTAAAAATTTT